CTGCGCGCACATGTGCGACAACATGCTCGCTGTCGTTTGCTACAGACGGTGAGCGGCTCATATGTAATTTTGTACTCAAGACTCGGATGATGCAATTGAAATACTTATGACTTTGGTTTTTTTATGTATGTGCTACTTAAATTTATTTATATTTTAATTGTATGCATGTACATACATATACATATAGTAATTTAGCCTCATTTATCAAAAATCCAATTAACGCACATGGCTTGGATGCATATATCCGCGATGTGCACACTGCAAGCATCAACACAAAATGAGATTGTTGTTTTTGTTTCCAATGCGATGCTCGCAAACCACGCTACAAACGACGAGCATGATCCCTGAAAATCAAAATTTTTTGATTTTTGGCGAGCATGCTCGGGAACCGCTTTACAATCGACGAACATGCACCGCAAGCCGAGCATGTGCCCGGATATGCTCGTCGTGTAAGACATCCTTTCATTTTTGCTGGTTTCTTTTTCTTCTTGTACATACATAAGTATACATGTATGTACGCGTACGCCATGGTGGAATAATAACAAGGTGTTGTCAGTAGCGAGGTGTTTGTTGTGATTTTGACAAGATCGGCATGCTTATTTTCAGTGCTGCCGATCTTAATTTTTATACTACTATTCGTTGGGAAATAGTATCTAAAATACTCCATTTTAGTAATTCGTTTTACCGCGATTTTTAAAGAACTTGGTGTTTTCAGAACAATATTAATATTTAAAATTGCTGGATTTGTATAGTTTTTGTCCTCAAAAAGTAGAAAAATAAAAGATATCGTGGTTATCAATGGAAAAAAAATGTACCCAGAAATCGTATGGAAAGGCGCTTTTTTATATTAAATAACTTTTGCTGCATTGCCATTATATTGAGCCAAATGAACTACTGATACACTAGAATAGAGTGGCTGCATGGTTAAATTAGGAATTCGCTTATATTATCGATATTTATGTGTTTTAATCTATTTAGAAAATCATGTGCAGTCTTATAGGAAATTGCCTTATTTTACGGCTTTTACTTTTTTAAAGTTACAATATATGTCCAAGCTGTGTGGAGCTGCCGATACAAACATATATTAAGGCTTATAAGCCTGTAATTATACATTTTGCTACATTTAATTTGAATAGTATGCACCAACGGATTAAAGGTAGTAAATAATTAGTACCTTTTCTAGTACTTTAAAATGCGTGACCGGAATAGACCTGCCGAAAAAGTGAGGTTAAGTTACTGACAACACCTTGTTATTATTACACCATGCGCGTACGCATTCTGTGTGAATTAGGGATGTCAGTGGCAAAAATACATCGACGTTTTTCTTTGATTCGATGCAACGAAATGTATATCGATATTTTTCGAAGCATCGAAGGGCATACATCGATGCATCGATTTGCATAGGATTTTTCAGATAATGTTTCACAACAAAATATGTTATTAGCTAAATTGTAGAAAATTTGAAATAAATTACTGCAACTGAGCTAATTTTGTTTCTAGCGGAACTTCTTGCAGCCATTTAAATTTTTTGGCCAAACTCACTTATTTTTTTTGAACAATTGAAAAAATGGAATGACGGTTCAATGTACCGTACATGTCAGTTTTCAAAAAACATCGATACATCGATCCATCGACTATTTATGGATAGAGTGGAAAATTTTCGATGCATCGAAGCAAAACATCGCTGTTTTCGATGCATCGATGTTTTTCCGACATTCCTAGTGTGAATGCAATGAAATCGTGGGCGGGTATTTGATGTACACAGTATTGTTACGATTATCCTCGAAATTGTACAACAACAATTTACAATACTTGCTAATACAGCAAAAACACTTTACAATACTTGTAAAAGCAATAACAACGCTTTACTGAACTTGTTAACACAATTAAACTTATAGCTTGCTTATTCGCAACTCACTTTCACTGCTCACTTTACTTGTAGCTTGCTGACTTGTAACTAACTCACTTCGCTGTGGCGGCGCCCTTATATACCTGCGCTCGTACTTATGGCAACTCTAGACCGTTCTGAAGTTTATCGCTCATTCTCCTTCTCTCGCTGTTCGCAGTGTTCATCCAACTTTACGTNTTCGCTTTGTGTTGCCGCAGTATTCGTCACACTGCCCTCCACCTAAGTCTGATCGTCCCGAAACTGTTCCAAACGCTGCAAGCCTTTCCAAGTGGACCACATTCATCTTGTTTCTTGGTCTCCCAACGGTCTGGATTCGATACACTACGTCATTCAGCCGTTTGACGACCTTCCCAGTTGCATTGTAGTTTTGGGGACAAACCTTTCTTCCGTTGTGGATTGTACAGCAACACTAAGTCTCCCTCTTGGAAACCCTCGGAGTTCATTGCCTTATCATACCTGGCCTTCATCTTGTCACTCATAATTTGAGTTCGCTGTCTCACAAGAGCATGTATTTCTCTTAACTCCTCTTCCAGGATGTTGGACGTCTCTTTCCCGATTCTCCTTGCCNTGCGCTGTCTCACAAGAGCATGTATCTCTCTCAGCTCCTCTTCCAGGATGTTTGACGTCTCTTTTCCAATCCTTCTAGCATCACCAGTCACCCCAAACTTCAGATCACTAGGCAAACGGAGCTCACTGCCGAATATTACCCTTGCAGGAGTTTTACCCGTTGTTTCATGCACTGCTGACCGGTATCCCATCAGGAACAAGGGTATGCGGACATCCCAATCTTTTTGATTCTTGTCCACGACCTTCCGCAAATGCTCTTCCAGGGTTCGGTTGAACCGTTCCACCATGCCATATGATTGCGGATGAAGAGGCGTCGTTCGAGTTTTCCGGATACCCAGTATCTGGCACATCTCTTGGAACACTGCCGACTCAAAATTTCTTCCCTGGTCAGAGTGCAGCTCTATAGGTACACCGTATCTCGCAACCCAATTGTAGGTGAATACCTCCGCTACTGTTTTAGCTTCCTGGTTTGGAATCGGGTATACCTCCGGCCATTTGCTAAAGTAGTTCATAAGCACAAGGAAGTATTTGTTTCCCTGTGCGCTCATAGGAAATGGATCGGCTACAACCATGGCAATCCGCTCGAAAGGTGCACCTGAGTTATATTGCTTCATCTGGCCATGACTTCTGGATTTCGGCCCCTTAGCTGCAATACACTCCGCGCAGTTAGCAATCCACTCTGCGACCGATTGCCGACAACCAACCCAATAGAACCTCTGCTTAACCTTTTCCAGGGTCTTTGTGATTCCCAGGTGCCCTCCACTAGGACCATTGTGGAATTCCTTGAGTACATCCGGAATTCTTACCCTTGGAACTACTATCAGGTTGCGGGAGCACTGGCCATCTTCGCTTTCCCATACCCTATGCAAACAGCCAGATATTAATTTTAAGCTGTTCCATTGTGCCCAGTACGCCTTTGCGATGGGGCTTTCCGCTGCCATTTGCTCCTTAGTTGGCCTCCTGTCCACCTCCAGTCCATGCATCAAAAGCTCCAGATCTGGATCTTCCTGCTGACACTTTCGTAGCTGTTCTTCCTTCCACTCTTCCGCTGGTGTTATTGTCGTTAGACGGACGTCTATAATGTCCTCCTTTCCCTCAGCTTTTGAGTAGTTTTTACATTCCAGTCTACACGGCCGGCGGGACATGGCTTCAGCATTACCGTGGACAGTTCCCTTGCGCTGCTCAAAAGCGAAGTCATAACTTTGCAGTCTCTCAATCCACCGAGCTAGCTGTCCTTCTGGATTCTTAAACTGTAGTAGCCACTTCAGCGCTGCATGGTCCGTTCGAAGTCGGAAACGTTGCCCATAGAGGTACTTGTGGAAATGTTTGATGCACTCCACCAACGCTAGTAGTTCTCTCCGAGTTACGTAGTAGTTCCATTCTGGTTGTTCAATCGACCGGTTATAGTAGGCAACCACCTTCTCCTGCCCATCAATTACCTGCGACAGTACGCCTCCTATGGCATAACCACTACCATCCGTATCCAAAATAAACGTTGCACCTGGAACGGGATACGCTAGCATAGGTGCAGTACATAGTCGTTCCTTCAGAGTCTGGAAAGCCTCCTCCTGCTCCTTGTTCCACTCGAAGGCTCTATTTTACCTAGTGAGCTCGTTGAGGCTATTAGCAGTGCTGGCGAAATTCGGAGCAAATCGGCGATAGTAGGTGCATAGCCCAAGAAAACTTCGTAGTTCGTGCAGGTTCCTAGGTCTTGGCCAATCCTTTACTGCTTCTATATTTTCCTTCGCAGTACAGACGCCCTCCGTTGTCTCCTTGTGCCCTAAGTAGTTCACCTCCTTCCTGAACAGTGAGCACTTTTTAGGAATTAGCTTCAGACCAGCGCCAGCTATTCTCTGGAAAACTTCTTCCAAATTGTTCAGGTGTTCCTCAAAGCTTTTACCCATTAAGATAATCTCATCTAGATACACCAAACATGTTTTCCAATGCAGTCCTTTGAGCACATGGTCCATAAGTCGTTCAAAAGTGGCAGGAGCGTTGCATAATCCAAAGGGCATCACCGTGAATTGCCACAGACCGTCTCCAACGCTGAAATCTGTCTTCTCCTTATCCTCGTCACTTACCTCCACTTGCCAATAACCGCTCTTAAGGTCGAGTGTTGAGAACCACTTTGTTCCAGTCAACGAGTCCAGAGTGCCCTGGGAAGAGGATAGCTGTCCTTTTTCGTCACATCGTTTAGTTTTCGGTAGTCTACGCAGAACCGCATTTGACCATCCTTCTTCTTCACAAGTACTACCGGCGAACTCCATGGACTCGCTGATGGTTCAATCACACCACTCTCGCTCATTTCATTTATTATTTGGCTAACAGTTTCACGTTTGGCAAGTGGAACACTCCGAGGAGCTTGACGGATTGGCCTTGCATCGCCAGTATCAATGCGATGTTTCACGACGTTAGTCCTGCCTGGTTTGTCGCCATCCTTGTCGAATATGTTGGAGTATCTTCGAAGAAGTTCGTTAGCCTTGTGCTGGTATTTTTCTTCCAACCCTTACGTCCATGCATTAATGTCTTCCGCAATGTCATTCTCGGCAATGGAATCGCTTTCAGGTAATTTTTCGCACTTGAAGATTGCCTCTACCTCTTGACATTGCCCCAGTACAGTTCCTCTTCGAAGTTTGACTGGTGATTTGAACTCATTGAGCACTCGAACTGGGATGCGTCCATCCTTTTGCGTCTTAGCCAGGGTTTTACCAATAAGTACGTCCGGTGTAGAATTTTGTGTTGCTTCAACAACCCACAATTTGTTTGTCCCACAATCTCCATCAATCTTTGCCCACACAACTGCTTCTGACTTCGGTGGAATCTGCTCACTTTCTTCTAGGATCACTTGCTTGCTGCTCGGACCATCATACCCAAACCTAAGGGGCACTTCCATGTTGTTATACGTCATAATCCTGTTCTTCATGCTGATCTGCATACCTTGATCAAGCAAGAAGTTTAATCCAATGATGACTTCATCCATAATCGCCGCGACTATGAACTTGTGTAACACCGTCACATTCCCTATAGCGACTTTGCATGTTACCTCTCCTACAACTTGGGTGTCCTCACCAGTTGCTGTCCTCAATCTTGCTCCAGGTAATGGCCTTACCTCTTTAGTGACCAAATCAGATCGAATGATGGAATGTGATGCGCCCGTATCCACAGTTAGTACTCGCTCATGTCCGTCCACATATCCACCAACAGTAACGTTGCTCGCTTTTCTGCCAATTCGCGAGACGGAGATTATGGGTCATTCAATTGCGGGAGCCAGCGTGCGCCCCTTGCTGCTGGCTCGTTTTAGTTTAACGACTGATTGGAGTTGGATTCGTCTCCTTCAGCCCTGCGTTTGCGTCCTGCTGAATTGTTGAGCGCACTGGAAATTGCGCGGCAATCGCGGGCGAAGTGGCCTGGCTTTCCACATTTAAAACATTTGCCAGCGCCATGCTTTTTCTCGCCCAGCAGTTGGATAATCTTCTTCAGCATTTCATTTGTCTCGTCCGGTGTTTTCACTTCCACGCGATATACTTTGTAGGCTGGTCTACTTAGGACCGCCGCCGCTTCACGCGTCTGAGCATACGAGACAGTTTCGGCAAATGTTGGCTTTGGATTCGCGTACGTCTCTCGCTTGGTATGCACGTCCCGCATTCTATTGATTAACCTGTGGATTTTTACTCTTTCGAGGTGCTCACCAGATGCATCTCCAATTGCCAAATGAGCCAACCTTTCAACCTCGGAGGCGAATTCCTGTAGAGTCTCGTTGGATTTCTGGCAG